TTTCTAGGTGAGTTTCTCATGTTTCTTCCTTGGCCTACAAGTATATTCCAAGATTTGGTGCATGTTGTGTCACATTACCCCTATTTTCTTGATCACCAGTTTCCTATAAAAAGAATCCAAGAAAAACATTGAATACATATCTCAATTACATCATAAATATGGGAGACATTTCTCCTGAAAAGAAACAAGGTGTGGGCCTGTTGAATGCTGTTTTGTTTTGAAGGAGAAAATTTGGACAAGAAGATCAACCATCCACAGGCTCCACTTCCTACACAAGAGATACCAACAATGTTAACAATGTAACAAGATCTTCCTAGTACTCAATTCTAAAACAAGGCATCCGCAATGGTTCCAACGAGGCATTTTTTTTAGAATCTCTTTGAGAACCAATCGGAGAAACAAGCCTGACAGATCATCTCAAGGCCTAATCCAAACCCAATGCCAAGGCCGCAAGTAGCAGCAGCAGCTCAGAATAAAGCCTATTCATAATCAAACAGAAAATTGGTCAGATAGTACAAGGATATATAATCAAGGAGAAAAGTAACTCAAGCCGCAACAAGGGAATTCAGGGAGCTTGGAAAACATGTCCGGCATCATCAAAATCAATAAAGGGTGCTAATACGTTAGTCCCGTGCCATCGTCCGAGCAATGTTTATGTTTGTTTGGAAATTTTGGGGGTAATATTAGGGCAAGCAAGGTGGGAAGCAATGGTACTGGTTCCACAACAAACTTCAACAGCTAATCATGTTCTTGCATTTATTTACCATGAACCCTACAGAAGAACCAACAACACCGAGCAACCAGCACCAGCACCCAGCACCACAGAATAATGGGAAAATATTCGACGATTCGTTAATGGGAAATGTGGTGAAAGAAACAGGGTGATCACGAGCAGCGGGAAAACAGGCGGTTTGTTTCCCTTTGTTCTGTGCACTTTTCCACAAGAATGGACCCTGAGCATTGAAGATTTTTCTTGTGAAATGAGGAATTATAAGAATGGGAAGATTTGCTGAGGCTTTGGCTTTGTTAATGATGCTGCAATTTTCCCATTTGATCCTAAATAGGCTTCGTATCGAAGCAAAAATCCGCTGCTTTGACCGCTTTTACGGAAAGGCTCCTTGAAGCTGTTTTTTTGAGTGCGAGAAGCCTATCACAATTGGATCCTCAATTATCCAAAGAGCTCATAAATCGTTTAGCCCACTTTATCTGTCGGTATGCCATCACATTTTTTTCCCGCTAATTTTCATCGTAAATTTCAATGATCCCTTTTAGTTATAATTTTGGAGATTGTATGCTTTTTTGGTGTTTAGATTAGGAGATGCAGAGAAGGCTATGGTACCATTACAAACAACAGCGAGCAGAACAGCTGATCCTGATGTTTTTACAAAAGGCTAAAAATAAATTCAATTCCATCCTCAACAAGTGCACTGAGGCCAAAGGCAAAGAAGATTGAACACTATTTTAAAGAGAAACTGTCCTCGCCATATCGGCTGGTGCTGATTCTGCAAACCCCAGGTTAACTACGTTACTAATTAAACCACAAAGAATCTGCTATTATTTCCTTTATGAACACATGCTAATTTTTGTTTCTTTATTGGAAAAAAAAAAGATATTGCCTTTAAAAAGCTGAAGTGCGTTGGTGAAGCTACATACGATACCATGAAGCCAGATCAAACTCTGAAGATGGTCCGAATTTTTGATTTGGCGAAATGTAAAAAATTCTTGGGCCTATTGGCATCGCAGGCCTTGCTAGTCATTCCAGCTCAGTTGACTTGGGCTGCTGGCAGGTTGGTATTCATGTTTTAGAAAACTAAATAAACATGTAGTTTTTCGTTTTTTTTTTTCTTTGAGGGAAAGCGAACTATTCAAACCATTCAAGTCCATTTCACCTCCATTTCCCTTAAATAAATGATATTAAGTGGATTTATCCTAGGCCCCTAGTGTGATTGTTAACCTAAGAGCAGTCTCCAGATGACAAGATTTTTTTGAGCCTAGAAAATGGGAATAATTTAATACTATATGGGATAATTATAGGAGAAAGGAAAGATTGTTTTTGATTTATGCTAACAACCGTCAAAGGGAAAACCTGTGTGAGGAGAAAGAGAAACCAAGATAAGTTACGTTGAGTATGGATTTGGGTTTCGTTAGGTGGCAATTATTTTGGACATATGTGAATTCCAGTCTCAATTCAACATTCCTACTTCCAATTTTTTTTGAAATTCCTACTAATCTTTTCTTTTGGGGACTTCCAATTTTTCCTCATATCACTATTATGGAAGATCAAAATCAACAAGCTTTTGGAGAATTGATCCTTCAACGGAATTTAAAGATATTGTTTAGTTTTAATAATGTCATGTATATGTAGTTAAAGTGCCTCTCATCCCTCTACGAGATTGTTTATAATAATTGAGGTACAAGAACAACACAGAACTCCGAATCGAGTTCGATTTGTTTGTCTTCAATTTCAAATAAACTAGTTTGAGGCCAGATTCGCTAAATGACGGACCAAATTCTAGTCCAAATACCTGAGAAATCAGACTAAAACCATTATTTTAGTCGTTGGCTAATAGTTATGTTATCACTGATTAGGGATCGATGAAATGCCTAGCGCCGAGCTTCAGACGAGAGCCAGCCTTAGATGGGGAAACAAGGAGAGTAAAACCGGTTTAGCTAGGGGACGAGAGGGCAGTAAGGCATAATCGGCTAGAAAAAGGGGGTAATGGCTTTGTCAAAGCTGGAAAATAGTGAGATGCCAAGTGTTTCTTATGGTTGAAGGATAGACCATGCCCCACGAACTCAGTTTTATTGTTTGTAATGAGCAGCTTGTCGGATCCAAACTTGGCCAATTTGAACAAATAGCCCACCTGTGAGGTTGCAATGCTGCCCCGTTATTGTCGACCAGTCTTTTACCAAGGCCTAGGTTTTAGGAGGGCTGGATTGTTT